ACTAAGATATATTTTAATAATTACTGTATTACTAAAGCATGAGTGGTATTAGGGTTCTTGTTTATTAGAAACAAAAAATGCTTTTCTGTTGAAGCCATCTCTATTAGCCAAACAATCAACTTGAGTTGGCAGCAATAAATTCTGACACTTTAGGGCTGGAACCTGCCAATTTTTTCTACTACATCTAGTCAGATGCATTGCTTAGTGGGTTTATTTTGTGTCAGCCTTACATTTCTATTTGAGTGTTACTACCGTAAGTGACATTAGAATACACAGAAATGTTCTAGAGAACCCACTAACTTTATAATTTAAGCTGTTAAACTTTCACTTTTTAAATGAAATAGGACTATCTGGTGATAAGATCTGCAACTAAATTTTTATTATTACCCCCTTTTTCTTGGGATAAAATGTCCATCTGAAATTTTATTTATTTATTTTTGGTTTTTCTCCGGTACCGGGAATTGAACTCACGACCTTGCGCTTGCCAGGCAGGCGCTTTTGCCGCTGAGCTAAATCCCCAGCCCCTTCCATCTGAAATTTTAAACAAAGACCCAGCTTTGAGCACCTCAGGCGGGTAAGCTATGCAATATGGTATCTTCTGCAAAAATTAATCTTTTGGCTATACTCTGTTTTATTCATTAAGGATGAATGAATTAATAATATCTAAAATGCTGAGTCACACATGATGGTAGGCACTTTACCTATATTATCTCATTACATTTTCACAAGGCTATACCATGAATACTGCTCTTATACCCATGTTACAGACAAGACAGTCTCAAAAGGTTAAGTCAATTACTTACGATCCTATAATAAGTGACAGATTTGGGATCCAATCCTAGATGTATTTGAAACCTGAGCTCCTGCTCTTATCTGACTCTTATTTTTATTTTTTTTGTCTTTTTTGAGACAGGGTCTCACTATGCAGTTCAGGCTGGCCTTGAACTCACAGTGATCTTCCTGCCTCAGCTTCCCGAGTGCTGGGATTACAGGCGTGCACCACCATGTCTGGCTCTGACTCTTATTATTAGGATCAGGTTAAGCACAGAGCAACAGGGTTTTCTGCAATGAAGGACATGTCCTTTATCTGTGCAGTCCATGCCAGGCACGGTGGTGCACGCCTGTAATCCCAGCACTCGGGAAGCTGAGGCAGGAGGATCGTTGTGAGTTTGAGACCAGCCTGGACTACAAAGTGAGCTCAAGGCCAGGCTGAGCTGCATATCGAGACCCTGTCTCAAAAAGACAAAAAAATAAATGAATAAATAAATGAATGAGTATCTGTCCTGTCCAATATGGTAGCCACCAGGTGCATGTGGCAACTGAGCACTTGCATTGTGGCTAATGCAACTAATGTACTCAAGTTGTAACTTTTATTTCGGTCTTTGAGACAGGGTCTGGCTGTGTAGTTCAGGCTGCCCATAAACTCAGAGTCATATTCCTGTCTCAGCTTCCCAAGTGCTGGGATTACAGTGTGTGCCGCCACGGCTGGCTGGTTTTAACTTTATGTGAATCTAGACATGTAAGCACATGAGATTACTGGTTAAAACATTGGGCAGCACAGTGAATGTGCTGTTTCAGCTTACATTTGTTTGTTTTTCCGTTACTGATGACTGAATTCAGCGTCCTCACACTGAGCTACATCTTCAGTCCTTTATTATTACTTTGAGACAGGGTCTTGCTAAATTGCTATATTGGGCTACCCTCCCAGTTTGCACAGTGGCCCGTGAAACATCCGAATGCAGCGCATACTTTCATTTTTGCTTTTACCCTCTTTTCCTCTTTGTCTGGCCCAAGTTTGCTTTGCAGAGCTGGTTTCTCCCATACTCATCCACCCTCCATTTTTTTTTTTTGAGACAGGGTCTCACTATGTTTTGGTTAGCTCTGAACTACGGAGCCCAAGCTGGCCTTGAACTCACAGTGCTCCTCCTGCTTCAGCCTCCTGAATCGTAGGATCACAGGTGTGTGCCACTGTGCCCAGCCAACCCTGCACTTTTCAAATAAGCTTTTTGGCACCATTATAAATGAATGAATGAATAAATAATTAAGTTGCTAAGCCTTGGCTGGGGCTAGAACTTGTGAACCTCCTACTTTATCCACCCAGAATGCTAGGATTACAGTTGTGTACCACCATACCAGGTGGAGAGCTGCTTATTTTTGCAAGAGACTTTGTAGTTTCCTTATTTTAGGGTTATCCTTTTAAGCCAGTGAAAAATTCTTTCCAGGAAAGTTTCCACCAATGTTGTTTTTATGGAGAACAGTTAAATTTCGGAATAGAGCGAGTTTTACACCAGCCCGCTAGATTTACTGTTGCTAGTGCTTAGAAGAAATATAGCACTTTAACTCTCAGTACTGCTTAGCTTTAAAACCCATTTTAACTTTCTATAATAGGAAAGTTTACTTCATTTATCTTTACTATGACCCACCCCCTAATACATATAATAGTTAAAAAGTATTGCACAAAGCAGTGTAAACTGCCTTGTTTCTTTAGCTAGTTGTTATGCTTCTAATAGCTGTAGTTTTTCATCATTTTAATAAACTTTGAGAAAGCTATGCACTACTACTCCCTTTTCTGTTATTATTCTTAGCACCTTCTGAGTCACAAAGAAATGTGTTTAGCAACAGTCTCAGTAGAGCTTTGACTGTAGCTTAAACACTTTGTGAATCTTTTTTACTAAACGTTTGTGCACTCATCTTGATGTTTTCTAAGCAATACAATTACAACAGTCAAAAATATCTTGGAAAATGTGTATTTAGGACTAAAGGGCATAAAAGGGAGGTATACCAGGGCTGGTCAACAAATGCAGTATGCATTTAAACTAAAAAAAACCTTTTGTTACAGTAAAAGATACATTGCCAGCCAGGCACGGGGGCAAACGCCTGTAATTCCAGCACTCGAGAGCCTGAGGCGCGAGGATCACTGTGAATTTGAGGTCAGCTTGGGCTACATAGTGAGTTCAAGGCCAGTCTAAACTAACTACACTGTGTGTATGGTTTTTAATAACTATACTGTTGTTAGTATGCTTCCATAAAACTGGAGTGGTAAATACTGTTAAATGTCACAAAGAGTTTAATCTACAAAACTGAAAATGGCTGAGTGGTGGTGCATGCTTATAATCCCAGCACTAAGGAGGCTGAGGTAGGATTGCTTTGAGTTCAAGGCCAGCCTGGGCTATATACTGAGTTAAAGCCAACCTGAAGTACACAGTGAGACCTCGTCTCAAAAAACTAACAAATTGGGCCGGGGATGTAGCTGAGTGGCTTAAGTGCTTCCCTGGCAAGCCTGAGGTCATGAGTTTGATTCCTGGTACCAAAAACACAAAAAACAAAACAAACAAAAAAACTAATAAATAAACAAATAAATGGAGTACTTCATAAAGTGAAGGAAGAATATTTTAAATACTGATGGGAAGGCAAAAATACCAGAGGAAAGCTGATGTAGGAGCAAGGGGAAAACTGAAGGACACTGAGAAGCAGGAGGGAGGGAGACTAGGTGAAAAGATTTGCCTTCTCTAAGAAGGGACACTTTTTCCTGTTTAAATAGAAGAGAAGGAAGTTTGTATATTTAGTTGCTGCAAGATAATGGCTCTTGTGTTCTCTGCAAGGGAAAGAAAGGACATTTGTAGAGGGAAGAATTCCGCCTTTCTAGACCTACCATTTACCACTCATGAATTGAGAGATTACTGAGTGGTTTACAAATATCTAGTTTGCAAGGAACTCCAACAGTAACACTGGTGAATGATTATTAACACTAAAAATCTCGAGATTCTATATGAAAGACTAATCTGGTATCAGGAGACCGTTCCTACTAAGAATATGTAAATTTCTGGTAATCTTTATTCACTTCAGTAGGTCTATTTTCCTTATGATCTCACTTTAAAGTGTACTGTATCTCTTTCCAAAATTAATCATTCTGTAACCTTTCTCTTCCTTGTCTTCTGAGATTTTATCTTTTATACACTGGTTACTTCGGCAGAAAGCTTGTATTCATTAAAACCAACAAGTTTCAAGCCTTTCCCCGCCTCGGTAATGTTGCTTAATGCCGCTCATGATGAGTTAGTCTACCCTTGCCATCTTTCCTCAGTCACCGATCTTATTAAAATATTTCTCAAATAGGCCAGGGACAAATCATCAGACCCTAATACCTATTCTCAGATTTAAACTTCCTTCTTTGACCCTTTCAGCATCTTGTGCCACTAATAACACAACGAAACGCTTCTTCTCACCTTCAGTTTCTTTCTGGCTTAACTGGCATGACTTTTTTTTTTTAAATCTACCTCTACCTAAACCACTGTTTCAAATCCTATCAATTGAAAACTCCCACTGCTACTGTGACAGCTCGTAACTTATTTATTTATTTATTTATTTACTTATTTATTTTTCCCGGTACCGGGAATCGAACTGACGACCTCGCGCTTGCTAGGCAGGCGCTGTGCCGCTGAGCTAAATCCCCAGCCCTGACAGCTCGTAATTTTAAAGTGGCATCACCTTTTCAACTACGCAGGCTGCAAGCTTCAGCTGCGAACAGATCCCCCACAAGCCGCCACATGACTCCCTGCTTCTCCACACTGGCTGCCACCTCCTTAGCTGAGACCCCAGACCCCTCCTCGCTTACTCCCCCCGCACGCCCAGACGGGCGCCATCCTCTACCCGGACGTCTGCTCAGACCCACCCGGGGGTCCGTCCTCCAAGGCGGAATCCCCCGGGGCTGGGAATCAAGTCATCGGTCCTCCGGCTCACAGAGGGCGGCAAGACCTTTTTCCCGCGACGGAGCACAGCTCGGCGAGCGCGACCTCCCGTGGCAAGGGCTCCCGAGCGCGGGGCGCAGCGCCCCGCTGCCTTCCGGCCCAGGTGGCCAAGCGCGGAAGGCCGAGCGCGGGAGAGGGCCGGCGCCGCCCACAGCCGCTCCAGAGCCCCGCAGGAGTCCCGAACGCCAGCGACCAGCCGACTCCCCAGGTTTTGGGCTGTCCCCGCTCCGCTGACTCCCCGCCCCTCACACTCACCCCGACAGCTGGCGAGTCAGGGCTTTGGCGCCGGGTCCTCTCCCGACCGAAGCTGAAGCGGTGGAGAAGGCCGTGAGGACCCCGCGCCTGGAGTGCCCGGCAGGCTGCCTGACTAACAGCGGCGAAGATACCGGCGCGGTCTCCGGCGGTAGAAGGATTAAAGAAGCGGAAAGACTTCAGTGAGAGGAGAGCGTCTCTCGAGGTGGAGGATTTAAACCGTCTTGATCACCCAGAATCTAGAAGAAAGGGGGGTTTCGCGCTCCGTGGACTCAGGCGCTCATCAGCAGCCTAACTCCGTAGGGTAGATCGGATTCCCGAAAGGGCGGGGCGTTATAACTGCGAGGGGTCGAACCTAAGGTTGTGGACCGGAGAGGGACGGGAAGGGCGGGGTCGGGGGCGGAGCTTAGAAGAGAAGGCGTGACGGGCAGGCCCAGCGAGGCGTGGGGCGGGCCCAGCGAGGCGTGGGGCGGGCCCAGCGAGGCGTGGGGCGGGCCCAGCGAGCGTGGGGCGGGCCCAGCGAGGCGAGGGGCGGGCCCAGCGAGGCGAGGGGCGGGCCCAGCGAGGCGAGGGGCGGGCCCAGCGAGGCGAGGGGCGGGGCCTGCGAGGCGAGGGGCGGGCCTGCGAGGCGAGGGGTGGGCAGTGCGTTGCTTGTGCGTGGTGGCGCGAAAGTAGGGTGGCAGCACGAAGATGGCAGCCGCTGTGGGGGAGCCGAAGCCCAAAAAGATGAAGGTGGAGGCGCTGCCAGCGCTGAGGTGAGCGCTCCCCGACGTGGGGAGGAGGGTGACAGCGCCTGCCGCAAGAGAGGGCCCACATGGGGTTGCGCAGCCTGGACGCTGGGTGGCGGCCCGCTGCCTGCCTGGGTCCCCACACGCTTACTTGCCGCTCGGGTCCTTGCCCACGTGGTCGCGACCTCTCGCCCTGCACCCTCTCGGTCTGGCCCAGTCACCTACTGCTCTGTTGCAGCTGCGGCTCCTGCGGCCTTTGACCAATCAGAGCCGGCGGCCGGGGGGGCCTGATTCAAAGCCGATCCCGCCGCGGGCTCCACGTGGGAGCCCGTCGTGGCTGGGCTGCTGCGACCCCTGAGGACCGGTCCGGAGCAGCGTCCCTAGGCTGCCACCTTCCCCTCCCTGGGTGCTACACGCGGGAGAGGGCCGGCGCTTGCTCTGCCCTGGGGCAAAGATAAAATTGGAGATTTTCCGGAAGTGTCGCGGAAGGGCGCCTTGACCTTCATTTTCGTGCACGCTGGGAAAGCCGGCACCTTCGAAGACGCGGGGCCGCCAACCCAGACCATGCCTCCCAGGCTTGGCGGGGCGGCCTTCGGCGGGGTGGCTCGGAAAGGCTGATTATTCCCGCTTGTTTGCACATTTTGGCAGCGACGAGAACGGTTCTGCCCCGAACACCTGTCAGTGGCACATGTAATGTTGCAACTTTTACTCATAAAAACCGTCATTCGTTCAGACATTTCTTCCTAATAAGTATCAAGTGCTGCAGGCACAAGCCTTGATGACTTAGAAATGTTCATTGGGAGGGTGGTGATTCTCCTATCTAAAAATAGACATCAAACCAATGAAAAAACTGGGTACACTACTGACAAATTCCATTTCTTCCAGTACCGCTCTTCACCTAAAGAATAAGTTATTTACAGTGGAAAAAATGCTTAGGATCCTGGGGGTGTGCGCACATGCTGTTTTAAATGAATGATCTGCTAGTGCCTTTGATAAATTCGAACTACCCTCAAGGGGTTAGTGTGCCTACCTTATACGGAGAATGTAATACTTTATAATTCGTAATATTTTATTTTTATTTTAAGCATACAAACTATGTCTAGTAAAGTAAAATCTTTTGAATTAGAGCTACCTGATTCAAAGCCATGTGCTTCGTCTATTCTGCATTTTATGAAAATATTTCCTTAGAAAGTACCTCTGTCACCAAACACCCACCGAATTGAAAGACAGGTGCAAGTTTCCCCTGCTGCTCTACTAAACAAAAGCAGCCATTATTTTAAAAATAAAAATAATGCTTTTATATAATGTTGATTCACTTCCATGTTGCTTTCCTATTTATTTTAGCTCTATGACTTAAGGAAAGCACATTATTGAAGTCCAAATGAAACATTTAAAAACAAGAAATAGGAACTCTGGGAATCCGGGTGCAAGTTTGACTGTGTATTCCAAGATATGCCTGTATTTGTCTATGTTTTTTTTTTTTTTTTTAAAGACAAGGTCTAGCTGTGTAGTTTAGGCTGACCTTGAACTCACTATAGCCCAGGTTGGCCTCAAACTTGAGGCATCCTCCTGCCTGAGCCTCCAGAGTGCTGGGATTACAGATGTGTACCACTACACCAGGCTGCCTATGCAGTCTTAAAGATAATGTTTAATACTTAAATGTGTCTATGGTAGGCCTTGTTAAAACATTTTATATATTTTAGCTCAATTCTACAACAACCTGATAAAGTAGATAGTATATGAGATGTGATGAGAAATTACAGTGAATGTTTAAATTAAAAAAATTATTGACAGTTAGAGACACATTGCCTTCAATGCCCCTCAACCCCGCTCCCTGCTTTGAACACACTTAACCCATCATTCTTGCTTTTTCTGAAGCAGTACCAAGAGTCCTGTTTTGTGAGTGTCTTCGGTTGTGCTGTCATAGTTGCCTCAGTGTCCTGAGTAGATTGAACACATTTACCTTTCATGGCCATTTTGACTTTGGGGAGGAGGCAGGTTCTGTGAATAAGGTGGGTAAGGAAGCAGCAGATGTGTGTAGCAGCCGGCCTTTCCACTGGATGGCACTCGGGGCAGTGTTCATTGTATTTTTTTATCACACCTCTTAAAGACACACAGGAACAAGGACTCCAGAACTGCTTCAAAAGTGGAACAACAATGGATAAGTATGTTTGAAACAAAGGGGAATATTTTAAGGGGATTAATGGTGATGTGTCTTTTGCTGTAGGGTTTTTTTTTATTAATATTTTTATTATATCTTGTAATTATGTCTATTTTACTAATAAGGAAGTAGGCATGCCACTAGTATGTATTAGAACTCGTAAAATTCCTTAGGTAGGGGCTGGGGATTTAGCTCAGCGGCAAAGTGCCTGCCTGGCAAGCGCAAGGTCGTGAGTTCGGTTCCTGGTACCGGAGAAAAACCAAAAAAAAAAAAAAATTCCTTAGGTAACTAAATTCACATTATACAATATTAACTTAATGGTACCTGTAGACATGAAGCTAAAAGATTAAACATTTTGAATATCAGGACAAATCTCTGGTTTCATGCCCAGATCTTTGGCCGTTCTTACTTTGTGTGTGTGTGTGTTACTCAGGATTGAACACAAGGCCTTTGCACTGAGCTACACACCCAGCCACTTAGTTTAATTTCATTTTTTTTTTTAATTGAAAGTAACTTCAAGTTTTTTTTTTTTTTTTAAATTTCATTTTTTGAGAGACAGGGTCTCAGTAAGTTGCCCAGACTGGTCTCCACCTTATGATCCTCCTGTTTCAGCTTCCCAGAGTGCTGGGGTTGCAGGTATGAGTCACCACGTACAGCTGGCTGTTACTGCTTTTATTATACTATAGTAGTTTGGTTTTCAGGGTTGCAGTATGGTAATACATTTAGACTGAATTAAGCTATGGTGACTTTTTGGCAGTTAAGGGACAGCTACTGGTTTGGGTTAACTATTGAGAATGGCTTGTAAATTCTAAGCTTAATTTAATGTGTAGTGCCAGATGTGCTGGTGTATGCCTGCTCAGGAGACTGAGGCAGGAAGAGCTGGAGGCAAGCTTGGGCTACCTAGTGAGTTCAAGCACGCTGTCTCAAAAAAAAAAAAAAAAAAAATGCTGAATCAGTCAGTGACGAACAAGTAAATTAATGAGATATATTTGTAGATGTCAGGAAAAGAAGTTTCAGCTAGCTCTAGGGCAGTGGTTCTCAACAGGGGAAATTTTATACTTAAAGGGGACATTTGGCAAAGTCGGGAAACATTATCTGGAGGGAAGTGCTATCAGTAGGTAGATTTTATGTATGCTGTCAAACATCATGCAACACACAGGACACTCCTACACCAGAGAGAGGTCTGGCCAAAACTGTCACCGAGAACCTGTCTCAAAAACACAAAAGTCAAGACACATTTTTGGAAACTACTGCTTAGATGAAGATGTTCCATGATGATGACCTATATTTAGGACTAGCTTTCTTTTCTCTCTTTTGGAAGTCTTGCCCACGTTCAGGTCTTCAGCGGTCACCTCCAGGAGGATGCAGCGCCTTCCAAAGCTTGTTGAGCACATGCCAGGTCTGTTCTTGTAGTCTGTCTTTCAAGTACACGCTATTTTAGGCATGGGGCTAAAAACTGGGGAATATACAGTGTGTGTGTGTGTGTGTGTGTGTGTGTGTGTGTGTGTGTGTGTGTGTATTTTATTCTCCATCCTCCTGGTAGGAAGTGAGGTTTGGGAAGATGACACCTGAGTATTATTTAAGATGACTAGAAGTTAATCTGGTGGGAAGCAGGTTACCTGCCTTTATAGAAAAGTTCGTTTGGAGGCAGGGCTGGGAGAAAGCTGCAGCTGTTTACTGAACTGTAGGTGGTCTGGCCTTGTTGACTTTCCAAGTCATATGTACCCAGCTGTGTTAGGCACTTGCTTGTCGCCTGGACAAAATACTCAACACCCACGACCTAAAGCAGAAGTTTATTTTGGCTCACGGTTTTAGAAGAATCAATCCTGGCTGGTCCGCTGGCTCCAAGGCAGAAGGGGCAAGCTGGAAGCGCCTGGGCAGAGAAAAGCTGCCCCCAGGGGGAGCCAGGGAGTCGGATCTGAGCTTCCAGCTCACCGGCCAGGCCCCGCCTCCTAACAGCGCATAAACTCATAAGAGGAGGCGTCACTGAAGCGAATGGCACCTCCACCATCCAGTAACCTTCCGAACATGTGAGGCTGGGGGGGGGGGGTGACGACGGGACACCCAGATCTAAACCATGACACCAGCGAAGTCCGTTTGTTGTCCTAAGCCTGCACCTTCGTGGTTCATGTATCTGTTCGTGGCATTGCTGACCTTCCTGTCTCCAAAGTTCTCCTTTGTTACTTGAATTTTGTGTTGGATTCCTGACTACAGTGGTTTCTCCACCTCCGGTTCTAGTACTGAGCTTCCTCAGGCATAGCTCTGCTTAGTCATAGCAACTCACGGGTAAACTCTGAAGTTCGTGTTTGGAAGGATTTTGGATACTAAGCCCACATCCTAACTCCCTCTGACATTGGCAATTAAAGCTTGTGTAAGAGTCATGTTTTAGTAATAATAAAATGGAACCAGACTTCAGTTTTCCAGTCAGCAAATATTTCCCAAATACTGCTTCCAAGCATTTCATTTGGGTGGAAGCTTTTTTTTTTTCCTCTATTCCTGATGAACCTATGTTTCGCTTGGGTAATGTGCCTAGGAATCTCTTAAGTATCTCGGGTGATCAAGCAACACCTTCAGTTGTCCTCTTGAAAGCATGTTGTGTTTCTTTCAGAAAACTCTTCTTTTTATTTTTGTAAACCAAATACACTGTTCCCAGAGTGGTCTGAAATGAGGATTAAGTTAGGAAAATACATGCAACCAGGAAAGAGGAAGCATGACTGAGGGTTCTTAGGAGTTGTTTCACTAATGTTTCTGGCATAGAGTTGGACTGGTAACTTTCACTTTTCTGGACCCTATAATCAGCGTGAAATAGAGTTTGGCTGTTTTTATATGATATTGCAGGCCTCTCGCTTACATTCACTAATTCAGT